GCAGAGTCACTTGGATGGACTGGATGTGTTCAGGTCAGCAGGCCTGGATGAGCTGCATTCGAGAGTACTGAAGAAATTGGCCGGTGCCATAGCAGAACCACTGGCACGGCTGTTTGAGCACTCGTGGCACTTGGGTCAGGTCCCAGAGGACTGGAAAAGGGCCAGTGTGTTCCCTATTTTCAAGAAGGGGAGGAAGGAGGATCCAAGTAATTATAGGCCAGTCAGTCTCACCTCCATCCTTGGAAAGGTCATAGATTCATAGATTGTGGAGTCGGAAGGGACCACAACGGATCATCGTGTCCGACCCTCTGCCCCCAGCAGGAAAGAGGATGAAGGTCAGATGACCCCAGCCAGGTGACTATCAAGCCTCCTCTTGAAGACCTCCAAGTTAGATGATAGCACTACCTCTCTTGGAAGCCCATTCCAGATTCTGGCCACCCTTACTGTAAAAAATTTCTTCCTAATGTCTAACCTAAATCTGCTCTCCACTAGTTTGCACCCATTATTCCTAGTTACTCCCTGGGGCTCTCTGGTAAATAGCGCATCACCAATTCCCTGTTGTTGTCCCTTGATAAACTTATCGGCGGCTACAAGGTCTCCCCTCAGCCGTCTCTTGTGAAGGCTGAAGAGATTCAGATCTCTCAACATCCCCTCATAGGGTCTTTCATGGAGGCCACTAATCATGTGAATGGCCCTCCTCTGAACCCTCTCCAGATTCTCCATGTCCCTCTTGAAATGCGGCACCCAAAACTGGACACAGTACTCCAACTGTGGCCTGACCAATGCCACATGGGTCTTTGAAAAGATTATGAAAGATCATATATGTGGGAGTCCAGTGGGAAAAATAATGCAGGAGGGAAACCAGCATGGATTCATAGCAGGTAGATCATGCCTGACCAATCTGGTTTCATTTTATGACAGGATCACAAAATGCTTAGACGCAGGAGTATAGGATGTTGTTTTCTTGGATTTTAGCAAGGCCTTCAATATGGTATCTCATCCCGTTCTCATAAATTAATTAAGAGGCTGTGACATAGATGTTTAAATGGTCCAGTGGGTGACAAATTGGCTTAGTGATCACACCAGGAGAGTGGTAGTAGATGGGTCGGTATGGACTTGGAAGAATGTGGGTAGTGGGGTCCCTGAGGGTTCAGTCCTTGGACCTGTACTCTTCAATATCTTCATCAGTGACCTGGATGTGGGTGTGAAGTGTACTCTGTCCATTTGTGGATGATACTAAGTTGTGGGGTGAAGTGCACACTCCGGAGGGTAGGGAATGATTGCAGGCAGACCTGGACAGGTTAGAAATGTGGACAGTACACAATAGGATGCAGTACAACAAGGAGAAGTGCAGAGTACTGCACCTAGGGCACAAAAATATCCAACACACCTACTGGCTTGGAAGTGACCCTCTCAGCAGCACAGAAGTGGAAAGGGATCTTGGAGTCATAGTGGACTCCAGGATGAACATGAGTAGTCAGTGTGATGAAACCATCAGCAAAGCTAACCAGATGCATGACAGATAGAACCAAGGAGGTGATCCTTCCCCTCTATGTAGCATTGTTCAGACCGCAGTTGGATTCCTGCATCCAGTTTTGGGCACCATACTTCAAGAAGGATGTTGATAGACTTGAGAGGGTCCAGAGGAAGGCCACTCATAAGGTTAGGGGCTTACAGGAAAAGCCCTATGAGGAGAAACTGAGGGACCTGGACCTCTCCAGCCTCTGCAAGAGAAGGCTGAGAGGTGATCTTGTGGCCACCTACAAATTCATTGGGCAGACACAGCAAGGGATTGGAGATGCTCTGTTCACCAGGGTGCCACTTGGGGTAACAAGGAACAATGGTCACAAACTGACAGAGCAAATTTAGACTTGATATCAGGAAAAAACTTTTTCACGGCAAGGGTGGCCATAATTTGGAATGGGCTTCCAAGGGAGGTGGTGCTCTCCCCTACCTTGGGGGTCTTTAAGAGAAGGCTGAATAGACATCTGTCTGGAGTCATCTAACCCCAACACTCTCTAGGCAGGTGGTCGGACTCAATGATCTGTTGAAGTCCCTTCTAATCCTAGCATCTATGAATCTATAAATCTATGAATTAGGGAGGGAGGGCTGGTCTAGCACCCCCCAGCTTCTATCCTGAGCCACTGCAGGCATGTGCCTCCATTTCTGGAATGAAAAGAGAATGTCTATCCACCTCCAAATCAGTTCAATTCAGGCTTAGGCTTTTTGAATGTCTGTCCCTAGCCACTACATCTGGTGGGACTCGCTGCATACTACAAAATCTGCCTAACAACCTGAGCATATAGTGAAGAAGCCAGCCTGTGCTGAATTTGGTGCTACATTGCTATCATTACCTAAGCTAGTTTGGGTATGTCTGCACGATCATACCATAAGATTAGCTATTGGAAGATAGCAGGAAAAATTGAGTTATCAGTAAAGCTTGCTCTCTTGCATGTCAAGCGCATTTGTAGATGACACTGTGGTTAAATTCTCCCTAAATTGAAGTGGTGTTTTTTTTAAAAACTACCACTTCAATTTAGGGTGAAGTAAACCCTTCATGTTGTATACACCTACGCTGGCATCTAATCCTTCCCTGCCTCTCCAGCAGCAGGGAGGAATCTAATCCTTACCTGCCTCTCCAGCAGCAGGGAAGGAAGAGAAAGCTGCTGGTGGGCAGAGCGGTCCCTGAGCTGCGGGATGGGGGGAGGGGGAGGGGACAGCTGGTGCTTCCCTCCACAGCAGGGGCAGCCCCCGCCCAGGTGGCACCCACCCGCAGGCAACCGGCTCGGGTGGTCCTGGGAGGCACCACAGCTGCAGAGGGGAGCACCAGGCCCCTGTGCAGCTCAGGCAGGCAGGTGGGAGGTTGGAAAGCAAGGAATCAGGCTCGCCGCTTTTTTTATTTATTCCTTCTGTGGAACCTGCCTTCCCAGTCTGCTGCCAGGCTGCCTGCACGGTCTGTCTGCACAGCTCCTGAGCCACACGGAGCCCAGTGCTTCCCTCCGCAGCTGTAGGATAGGAAACTAAAATTCCTCAGAGGTGTTTTACTTTGCAGCTCCCCAAAGTGATTTGCTGCATCCCAAAGTCATTTAAGGTGTATTATGCCACCAAATGTGCTATGGTAGCTGGAATTAACGTGTAATATGCTGCCGAATGTGCAAACAGCAATGCCATTCAAGTGGTGCAAAAGGCATTTAACCCATTTTAAACCTGCTAAAAAGTGTCATCTACAAATGGCCCAAGATCTCAATATGGCAAATTTCTCTATGGGAATGGTGTTGTGGGGGAGGAAGGTGCAGAAGCTAGTCTCAGGAACAGGGCTCAGTTGGAGAGAGGCATAGCACTTGATGGTAATGAAGAGATGCCCTGCAGAAGAGTACCCAGGGAAGAATCTTAACTACAGCTTCTGCCAGTCTTGAGCAGAAGACCTAGTGTTCAATTCATTTTATTGTTACTAATTTTTGTATAAATAAAACCATAACTTTGACTTTTTATCCTCCATGGGCTTTCTTTTGGAGTAGAGGGGGAAAGTCATCTACTACCACCATCAAAAAGCATATTTAAATACCCAAATATGCATTTTAGTAGCCAAATTAACCATCATATTTTAAAATTGAGTATGTTAGTACCTAATACAAATATGCCCCTTTTACATGTAGAAGATCTACCATCAGCAGAATAGTTAGGTGAAGCAGACAGTCTTGTTTCCATTTGAGAAATGGGGGAAATCAAGGCAGAGTGGGTAAGTGACCTACCAAAGAACACAGTGGGGAAAAAGGACTAGAACCCAGGACTGCCTTATTCCAAGGGGAATAGTCACACTCTTGGACAAGCCTCATTATGTGTCTGAACCAATATTTAGTTGATCTAATAAAAGTTATCACATCTACCCAAAGTACCATGCCTACCTGAACTAATATGAATAATTAATGCATTATAGAATATTTCCTGATACATTTTTGTCTGTCTGACTGGCCTTGTAGACCTTACACATCTTTTAAGTACATTTTTAAATTAGACAGAAAATGATGTATTCATAATAGTCTGAACAATTTGGTACTGTATAAAACTCCACAAAATGAGCAACCTTATATGTCAGATAAATAAAACATTCCTTAGAGAGGATTGGGGAGGTCACTGTTAGAAGAAAGGTGCCTCAGAATATTTAGGAATGATGATCACATCTCCTTCCTGTTTTATAGCCTGCCTTTCTTGGCATTTTTTTAAATTTGGGCCCAAATTGAAATGGTTGTAGAAAAGGCATACATTAAAAAAAAAACTGTTTAAACTCTGATTAGCTGTTGTAAGTATCTATTCATTTAGAAAAATACTGTCCTGGAAAACAGTTTGTACCAATCCAAGGCTATTTCATTGCCGATTGCTGAAAGATTTATTCTGAGTATAACAAAACAGCCATATGATTCACTTAGCCTGTGTAATATCTATCTTATCTTGGTAGAAGAATTAGATATGGAATAGATAACGGTTTGTTAAACAAAGTATCATTAATCACTGCGTTCGGAAATGTAGACTTCACAGGATCACACTGTAATTTGCAGCACTTCTGCTCTGCCTCTTCAGCACGACTGTTAAGAAGTAGCAAACATGTATTTATGAAAAGGACCTGTTTAAGAAGAAAATAATCCTAACTGAAAATTCTAGGGATGGTACAGAATCCTGTCGACTGCACTCGTTCAACGGGAGACCACTGTATTTGTAATAAATTCCTTTTGCTCTGGATGAGTTCTGCATTTTCAATGAGGTTAACTTGGCAACATTCTGGTTGATTTTAATAAAAATAGCTGCTTTGAGGACAGGGAGCTGAGGTTGCCAAATTTACAGCTGCCTTGCACAATTACTCTTACACCTCCTTCAGGGCTACTTAGAACCAGTAAGCAAATTAAGTGTATCGATTGCAATTTTGGACTAACCCTTTTTTCTTAAGGAATAAACTTGATTCCTTTCAGTATGTGTCTGCTCAGAGTGATCTCTTTTCTTTTCAGCCATAACACAAAGACAACATCATGGCTGGATCCACGACTTGCGAAAAAGGCTAAACCTCCAGAAGAGTGCAAAGAAAATGGTAGGTTATTAAGTTTTCGTTGCTACTCAGAAAGGATTTGTCTTTGTGTGTGTGTGTCTCTGACTTCTTGAAAAAGACAGGCATTTTAGGAAATGATGAAAGGTGTTTAATTGCTGCTTTGGTTATAAGCAATAAGTGATACTGTATTCTCTGTGTGCCATGTGTTTCTGGCTTTTTTTATTCCTTCATTCTGATGATATCCGAAGCTGAGGATCACAAGTGTGTTTTCTGTCTGTTGTGTTTTTGACTCCTGGACTGACCCCTCTCCCTCATCTCCCACTGAGAACTTTGCTCTGCAGAATAGAATCTACTTTGGGATTCTGAGATTTTAATGTATAGAGATGCCATGCATAAGGGAAACTAACAGCACCGTGGGAATATGAATTTTATGTGATTTGTTTTTAATGGTACAGTGCTGTACTGTTTAGGAGCCAGTTTAAACAAAACAGTTTCTGGTAGAATAGGGTGGGAGAGGGAAACAGAACAGTTGCTATTTCCATTCCAGGCTAGATATTTTTGGATTGCAATAGTTTAAAAAATACAAACACAAACAAGATTGGAAACATTTTAAAGAAATGTAGTTGTTATGCAGACAAGAGATCTTATCAAACTATATATGTTTATTTGCACCCTACATACTATTCAGTTTTTCTTTAGCAAACTTTAATTCATCAGAACCAATTAATAAAATAGGTTAATAAATGTATTGAAATGATTTTTTTCCTTAGGTGGTATATTTTAATTTTCCTGTAGTTCCTTATAATTTAGGTCCCCAACTGTCATAAAAGTGAGAAGGAAATCATTTGTAAATATTGTCAGTTATGTTTATTATCATGTCTGGGGGAATATTATATAGTTAGTAGTTCAAAAACTCTTTCATGACAGTTTAATATATTTATATAAAGAATTATGCTTTTATATGCCTCATCCAATTTATTTGAAATCTGCCAATATGCTTAAAACTGGCCAATGTAAATATTATTTCTAAGAGGATAATTCAATGCTGTTGTGGCTGAATAGTCATTGATTGGTATTTGGGTGTATACAATGTAGGGTCATTGGTACAGAATGTTCTGATTTTATATAAAACTGTCCAGTTTTTAAATACCCCTTTTTTCAAGAATCCCCTCCTTATTTCAGTAATAATTCTGACCTTCCCTTCTGACAGTAGAAATGCCATGTCTGAATAATTTTGTCATATGTTTTTCTAGTATTGAAAGCACTGGCTCCTCGTGTCTTCTGCATAAGGCATGCAGCAGAAGTGTTATTGGCACCAAACAAGGAGACATGCATTTTGCATTAGAAATCCATGTGTCTCATGCTACTTTTATGACATGATATCATTGCCTGGGGCTTAAGGTGTATTATTGGAAGCAGGGGGAAAAAATTGTGGAGCAATATCACAGGTATTATTGGAGGCAAATATACATTGCTCTTCATTTATTACGTACAAAGTGCACAAACCACATCAGTTATTTAACTGTAAAAAAAGAAACAAAATAAAAACCTGAAATAATTTTAAAGGCAGAGCAACATGTAAAATAAATAGGATCATTTGTCAGTTATTTGACTAGTGGATTACTGCGTGACTATTGCATGCTGGGTCACCTCATTCTTTAAAAGTTGCTCAGCTCATTAATGCCAAGTAGTTGAAGTAAAGCATAAAAGACTTTAGAGAGAGATCTTCTGTTCTTGTACTCAGAGTACAGCTCACTGTTGTAACAGACCCAATTTTCCCATGTTTCTCTGGTTGCTCCAAAAATCGCTTGGCGTCTTTTAAATTTTTCAGTATCTGTAGAAATGCAGACATCTCCAGATGGACTCCAGTTATGAGGAGTGTCGCTAGCTAGCTATGAAGTTCTGATATTTGGAAGTTTGAGCTGCCATGTGGGGGGTCGTTCTTAAATGCTAATTAAATGATTAATTATACACTGATTTCAGCTAATGCTATATAAATGTGTTTATGCCAAATGAATTAATTTTCCTTATAATTCATGATATATTAAGGTCCACTTCTAGCTGGAGATGCTAACTTAAGAGTTGCTTAGCTAGGAAATGATACCTGCCTTGTTTTCTTTAGTGTTATTTTTAGGGTTCACATTGCTAAATATAGTTTCATTGTCACTCAAAATTTGTATTTTAATTCCTCACAGTTAAAATTTAAATTTTCTCAATGGTATGTTTTTACCAGGCAACTGGCTCTGAATGATTTCTCCAATCAACCCCATGTGATTCCTACACTGGCTTGCATGTTCCCAATCAAATTACCTATTATTCTTATTACCTTCACCCCTATCACTGTCACCATCTCAGAAAAAGTCCTTAGTAACATTCTCAAAAAGAAAGACTAAGTCCACCAAGACAACCTTTCTGCTTCCTCCCTGGTACAGATGTTCTGGTTTTCCGCTTGTTCTGTATCTTTAATCACACCTGCTCCCCAGTCCCCATCAGGGGATCTTGTAAATCAGAACTCAGAAGGCCACCTAGTCCCATCTCTACCGTGGACCCATTATGTGACCTTCATCAAGTGGTTTCATCTCAATGTGCCTTGTTTCATCACCATTTCTCTTCGACTCTGTTTCCCCTTTGGGCTGCATTTTTTTTTCTGAAGCAGAGAATTTCTCTTACCATGTGCTTGTTCGGGATTTAGCACAATAGGGACCTTATTTGAACTGGGACTCTTAGGGGCCGTCATAATACTAATACAAATATTCTGATAGAATATTGGGATTTAAATTTACCAAAAAAATTCAATTTGCTGAAAAAAGATCTATTGAGAAAAGCCAATGGGATATTTTATCTTGAGTCAATTTGAATCAAAATATTTCATGTGTTAAATCCAAAATATTTAGAGTTAATCAAGTCAAAAATACTAACATGCAATTACCTATGGTGCACTTCCTTATGGGGCTGGGCTCCCTACAGTACTTTATCTTTCATTCTGGAGTATGTCTCCCAGAATGTGTTTCCTCTGCAGTGTGTATCACAGAATTTGCATGATTCTAGGTGCATTGTGGGAAAGTTAGCCAGGTGAAGGAGCCTGGCCCATGAGGGAGAATAAGGGCCAGAACTACAATTCCCACAAGACAGTTGGAAAATTCAGTTTTTTGTTGAAATTCAGTTTAGCAAACTGCAAGCATTCAGTGAGCATCACTCCCCGCCCAACCCACTTCAAATGTTGTGTTGTGATTGAAAAAGTCAAAATGAAACATTTCAACATTTCCAAACTAATGTTTGCAGGAGAATTTTCCATTCTGCAGAAATTTTTGTTGTTTCAACTTTTCATCCTTTTTCACACTGCGTTCATTACCACACATCATCCTATCTTTTGTCTTTCATGCTATTTTACCATTTCTTGCTCTCAAGTTAAATAATACTAGAAGTGACTTAGGTATATGCAGTTCTTGTTCTGGAGGCCCTTTTATTGATCTCCAGGAAAAACTGATTACCTTTCTTACCCATTTCCAACAAGAGCCACTCTTCTTTTTGCTGCTAACCTTAATGAAAGACACCCTTCCAAACAATAAAGGGAAAGTTCTTTATTGATAATAAATAAAAACAATTTTATTGTTCCTAGAAATATTTCTGTTCATGTAAATAAAGAATCAAAGTAAATATTTTCTTGAACAGCATAACATTTTTTTGAAAAAGCAATCATTTATGTTAAATAAAGGCATTTAGCTAGATGTCTCTTAATCTACATGTGAAGACTATATTTCCTAACAGATAGATCAGTGCTAAATAGTTATGGATATTATTATATACATTGAATGGATTCTGTAAGTTAACGTTACCAAACCAATAGATAATAACAGAATAAATTGCAAACACTCTAAAATTTAATAATCCACTCCTATCATTGTTTTTTCATCCTATTTTCAAATATCTTTGGGGACAAAAGGGATGAAATAT